CTTAAAGAGAACTTTTGGTTAATGTAATTTATTTGTTTATCACCTACAGATATGCAGATGCTGCAACTTTCCTGTTGAGATGGGGTTTAGCAGCTGATAAGTGCAATGCTACCCATAGCCAGTGCAAGGTGTCTAAGCTTTTTGATCTTGCACCTTCTTTCTTTTTCATCATGTTTTTCTGTTAGTTGGAATTTTTCTTTTTTTCTCCTCTTTCTTTGTGTCATATTTGTCTGAAACACCTTACCTGCATCAACTGTGATATTCCTTTTGTAGTTTTTGCTAGATGTAGGCTTTGATAGTTTCATGCTCCTGGTAATGTGGCTCTGTAATGATTCCCAAATTTTCAAGGAATTAGATGCTATTTGGGTCTTGCCTTCGTAATAGCCTTGAACTCATACATGTTTCTATGCATTCTTGGTCGCAACCTTCTGGTTGATTGGGTCTCTATCTTTCTCTAGCCAACAGTAAGAATTTAACCCAATACCCACACCACCTTAATTGTACATTTGTCTTTACCACTGTGGTTTGAAACACTGGTGTAAAAAGTTTTCATTACATCATCCCCCATATTGAGCGAGACTCAAGTCAACGATAGATTGAGAACAATTGGAAAGTTGATGATAAAGAAGCAATATTTTTAAGTAAGTTAAAAAAATGCATGGAAACTCTTTCAAACAAATTTTTTTTTTGGGATTGACGTGGAATTGTCAATTAATTGTTATTTCTTGGACTCTGTTGGAAATAGAGACTTTGACACAGCCTAAAAAACAATCGATCACTAAGGAGTGTGCTCCCTTTTATATATCAGGATTAATGTATATTCTGAGTGAAAAGGTATGACTAAATTTAGTGAATTGATTAGGTTAGAGGTAATGGCAATTAGTGGGTCGTGGGAGAGGCACTTGCCAAAATGGCCTACGGCCACCAAATGTAGCCTACGGACATTGAGAGATGGTCTACGGGACCTCTCCCTTCCCTTAGGAAAAGAAACAGAGAAAACTGAGTCTGGTTCGCAAACCGAGACAAGGCACAGAAGAGGGTTCGGAAGTCCGGAGGTAGGGCTCACGGCCGTGACTCTGAAACTTCTGAACGAGCACATTATGCAATATCACCAAGTGCTCAACTGGTGACGTCTGAGTCTCAAGGTCGGTCAAAAATGGGGTGTCTACAACAGTGATCGGCCATTCAAAATTGCCATTTTGGCAAAATAAATGGCCGACCGGCAACAAAGAGTGCCGACCGGCAATATACATTGCCGATGGCATAAAATCACTGACCAGTGGCCTCAAGCCATGGACGGTGATGTGTGGGGATGCCTCACAAGGCATTCCCTGCCCCTCTAAGGCAAAACACAAGTGTTTGGTGCAAAACCAGACACAACATAGTCGAGTCGAGAGATCCTGAGGCAAGGCGCGCAACCGAGACCTCCGGGAACTCAAGACGAACACAAACAAGGGTAATCACCAAGTGTTCCAATGGTGACGTCTAAGTCTTGAGGACGATCAAAAATGGGGTGTCTACAGTTGGCAAGTGAACTTTAAATATTATAATTGAGGACCCTTGGGTGATGTTTGGAACCTTGATTGAAGTCTTAACAAGGTATTTAGGTAAGATTAGATAAAAAGCCCCAAGTTTGAGTTTGAGTTTTTTACCAACCTTCACTCTTTTGCCCTTTTTTCCTTCTATACTTTGAATTTGAATGTAAGGCCAGAACCATTGGAAAGCTTGTTTCCGGGGCTTCAATTTTGACACAAGAACGACCTAACAAGGAGTCCCGATGAGAGAGTTATGCCCGTTTGAAGTTTTGGAATATGTGCTGGAAGCAGGTCCACACGAACGGGAAAAGCGGCGCACGTGCCGGACTGCGCGAATTCAGCAGGTTAAAAACGTGATTTTAGCTCATTCTTTGCATTTTCCTTTTCCTTCTTCATTCCTCTCACCCTAGGTCCGAAAACCCTAGGTTTTTTACCTCAAATACCTTCCATTTCCCTAAGGATTGGCCAAGATCTCCTACCAAGAAAGTGAAGAGGCTTGAAGATCAACATTTTCTACCGATTGGAATTTCGGATTTGCGAAGGAATCTCACCAAAGCTTGCTCCTTTGCTTGATTCTTGAGGTAGGGGTCCTAGTTCTTCTTCAATACTTCCATAAATAGATAGATTTGTGGTATTTTGGTTATATACATGTAAAACCCACATTTTTGAGCATATAGTGTACATTATGATTTTTGGGGGTTTAGGGTTTGAAGCGTTGGTGGTTCAATTGTTGGGTCAATATGGTGGATTATGAACCTTAGGTGTATAATCAAGAGGGAAATTTGAATTAAAAGTAGTGGTTTAAGAAGTTTGAATTTTTATTGAAAATCTTAATTTTCCTTGAAAACCCTAAGTTGATTCATTATGATAATTAATGATTTTGCCCAAATTGAAAGTAGATTCATGAAATTGGTAGGTTGAATTATATATGTACAAGTTTAATTGGATTTTGGAGGTGTTTGAAAATTATGTTAAAAATTAGCGATTGAACTTTGTTAGAAACATTGTAAATCATGCTATAATGTGAAAAGGAGATTGGGAAAATGACTTACTAATGATATAGATGATATAAACTTAGTTATGGAATGTTGAAAGGGGATTCAAGAATTTATTTTGAATTATGTTGAATTGTAAATAGTGTTGTTGAATTAAGTTGTATTGGCTTATATTGAATAGTGTTGATTATGTTGAATTGTGTTCATTATGTTGAGTTGTGTTGAATAATGTTGACCCGAATTGTATTGGACTATGATGAATTGTGTTTGAATCATGCTGGATTGCGTTGAGTTGAGTTGAGTTGTGTTGGGTGGTGTGGTGTTTGAATTGTGTTGGGTGGTGTTGTGTTGGTAACTCCGGGGGGGAAGTTGAAAGATGATACGGAATTTGTGATAAGATGATGAAGTGAAGATTTAAGAATTTTATTGTGTAATTAGAAAGTGATTTTATACCTCAAAACTAAAAGTCCAACTTTATATTTAACAATAGTTATGGGGTTTCATTTTGGAAAATGAGGATACTTCAATCAACATTAAAGTTATGAAATTAAGTCTATTTTGGGTTAAGATGAGTGTGGATAATGATAAATGGGAGATTGTGAAATATGACGATGTTATATGAAGGTGTTGTATCAAAGAAAATTAAATGTTGGAGATTAAATTTATAACCATGGGTAGTAATTGACAACCAATGTGTCTTAAAAATTGAATTTGAAGACTTGATGATAATACAGAAAAGTAAAGAAATAGTTTGAACCCAAGAATTTTGAATACTTTAAAGATGAATCTTTGCCTCTATGGAGGTGTTGTTATATTTTTTTGTGACAAAACAATGAATGATTTAATGGATAATGAAGAAGGTCGTGGAACATATTTGTACTTGTTATGTGAATGTAATTTTAATATATGGTGGATGTACATTGAATTAATGTGTTACGGAAATAATGGAAGATGTGTTGGCATTGTCCACTAATTGTAATGATGGATTGTGATGTTATCTTGGGGTCCATTTCCCGCCGTATTTGAGCCGGCAAAGCGTGGCGCTTGAGATAGGTTCCATCTTCCTTCCAGAGTAGCGCCCGATAAAGCGTGTGGTATGTTAAGGTTCCGCGTTCCTTCCGGCTTGTGACCGGTAAAGCGTGTGACTCATGGAGATGACTTGTGATTGGATCCGGTATCTGATATGAAATCAATTGAAAGAATGAAAATTGAAGTGGTAATTGGATTATGGATTGGTGATGATGAACTTAATGAATTAGTTGCGACAATAAAGGTAAATTAGGAGTATTGTTTTGTAAAATAAATAAGAGACTGAATTGAAAGGGGTTTGTTAACCTTGTGTTACCTTGAAATGAAATTTGAAAGAGTAAATAATGGTGTAAATTGAGTATAGGAGAATTGTTAGTGAATCAAAAAGGAAACTTGAACTTGAAGTTATGGAGTTCTAAATAAATATAATGAGTAGAAAGGAAGAATGGAAGAAAAAAGAGGAACATTAAAAATGGAAACTGAATGAGAAATATTTTGAGAATTGTTAATAACTCTTTAATGATGTTGTTTTCTTAAATACGATTGAGGGTCTATGTTTTTCTAAGGTTAAGGGATGATTTTAATGGCTAAAGGTTTTTCTTGAAAATGTTTAAATAGTTTTTGAGAAAAAGGTACCTTATTTATGGTATTTTGAAATTATAAAATGTCATCCTACTATATGGTATCACCCTGCAAGCATGATCATTTCTATCTGTGTGTTAGTTATTGATTAAGAACTATGAGACTCCTACTGGGCATTAGTGCTCACCCCTGTTGTTTTTATCTTTTTACAGGAAGAAAGTGTGGATTCTGTGATTGAAGAGTCAAGTAGTCCATGTGTCTTTTACATACAATTTCATTGTAGATGTAATGGATTCTGTATTTGTATTTTATTTATTTGTAGCTTCACAGTAATAGATTGGCAGGTATGGTTGTCATTATAATATTCATTGAGAAAGAGAGAACATGTATCATTGTATTTCTATTACTCATGTGTAATAGATATTTGTATATGTAAAAAAAAAATGGACCTAATTTTAAGGCCTTGGTAATGTTTCCGAGTAATTAAAATTGGGGCGTGACAACTTGGTATTAGAGCTAACCAGGTTTGAATACCTGGAGCTCGTGGGAAGTGGTTTTTACCACAATGGGTTGGCTTCGCTTGGTGAGGAAATTTGCATATAGAATTAGGAGGTGTAGGACATTATGTGTTGCATTATGTGAGCATGGGTTGAGCTTCATGGATAATGCTTGTAGCCGGCTAACTTGCTTTGAGATCTCATTGGAAAACGCATCTGATCAACATGGTTTCTAATGGGAGTTCCTTGGAAGTTCCGGGACAAGTGGTCGTCCTTGTAGACTTGACTCGATTGTGTGGTTTGTTGCTTCAAATTGTTTATATGTTATGTGATTATGTGTTAAGTTGATTTCATGTTTTGGTAGGGAGTCTAAGTGTGCCAAGGAGGAGTTAGAATTTTGTTAACTTATGCTTGATATTGTCATTGATAGGATGTCAAGGCGAGCCAGTAGAGGTCGTGTTGGGACTAGGGGTACTGGTAGGCCACAACAGTTCCAATAGTGGCCACACCTGCAGCATCGACTGTGGGTGAAGAGATTGCACGCGAGATAGTAAGAGCAGTAAGGGAGGCTTTAACTTGTAGTGAGGGAGACGAGTCTCGTGCCCTCAAGATCACTAAGGAGTTCTTTCGTCTTAACCCACCGGAATTCACAGGAGGAGTAGAACCGTTAGAGGCAGAGAGTTGGTTAGAGCAGGTCACTAAGACTCTTGATATACTCAGAGTCACAGATGAGGGGTTGAGAGTGTCATTAGCGAGTTTTCTACTGAAGAGAGAAGTGGGTTATTGGTGGAAATATGTAAGTTCTACCGTAGGCACCACCTGGGTTGCAATCACTGAGGCCTTTTGGGCCAAGTATTTTCCTCCTTCCACTCGGGAAAGATTGAGGAAACAATTTGTGGAGTTGCGCCAAGGTATGACTCCTTTAGCCCAGTTTGAAGCACAGTTCACCAGTTCGTCTAGATTTGCTCCAGAGTTGGTAGCAACCGAAGAGTGGCGTTGTATAGAATTTGAAGAGAAATTGCACGATGAGATCAAAGGGAAGGTAGTAGGGTGTATGCATAGAAATTATCACACATTAGTGGAAGCGGCGGCTCATGTGGAAGCCACCAATCTTAAGATGGACCAGGATGAAAGAGAGAGGGCCATAACGACGAGTCCCATAGCTTGAGAGCATACAAGATTTAGTAAGAGGCAAAGGAAAGTTGAATCTCAATCAAAATCCCAGTCACAGCCACAATCTAGTTCTGCATCGTTGGGTTCATTGGTCGGGAGATCCAGCCAAACCCTGGTTTCCCCAAGTCGGTCAGGAAATAGAGGACCACCTTTTTGCTCTAAGTGTAAGCAATCGGGTCATGTTAGACGCCGTTGTCCTTCGCGTGGGATGAGTTTGTCTTAGAAGTCTGAGTAGGGACAAGAAGAACTTTGTGTTTGGTGAAAATTTTGTGCTTGGTACTGTGATGTAATGTCTTTTGTATGTAAGGCCTTATGCCCATGGATGTTATGAATGTATATGTATGTGCGATCTCTGAACCTAATTGTTGGGTTGTGTAATTAAATTTTGGAACTTGTTCATATTGGGAAATGTTAGAAGGAATTGCACCCTTAATGTTATGTTGTGTTACTATTTCTATTACATGGATGAAGTATGCATTGACTTATGAACTTTGAGTTGAATTATAGAAATGTTTGATTATAAATTGTTGTAAGTGCACTTGTGCCAATGTATACATCAATTGTTAGTGTTGATATTGTAATAATAGAGAGACTACCAACTTATGGGAAGTCGCATGTACCATGTTACTTTTTGGATGCACCGTAATTGTTCTACTTATTGTCAATACAAATGTGTATGGAAATTATGTTGTGATGTTACCGGATGGGTGGCGAAGGTCATTTGGTGATCGTTGGAATTCACCGGGAAAATGTTGAGATCTATGTGGAAAACAAAAATCTATTTTCCTTGTGGGTGGCCTGGGAAGGCACGATTGAACTAAACGTTAAGGACTTAATCTGAATATGATAATGAATGATTCTCACTATTCTACTTTTAAGTGTTAAATAGAATAAAGAATTGATAATGCCGCTAATTGAAACACAGTTGAAAATTTTGGTTTTGGACCGTACAATGTGAATTGCCCCTCGTTTTTGCTTGTGTTGACCTGGTGTTTGGTTTAATAGTAGTTTCCATTTCTTTGAAATTGAGCTTTGGCCATTCGATAGTCATTGTTCGCGTTGTTGTTGGTCGAGGAGTTGTTATGGACTTTGGGATTATAAATGGTTAGTGTTGCTCCTTGCCCATTGAATTCCGATATGTGTGTTGATTGAAAAGTATTTGTGATCCTTTCCTTGTGATTCTTGTTGTTTGGGTATCTTTGGAACATTGAGGTATCAAAACAGAAATTGAGAATTTATCCCGAGTGTGGATCTAGTTTCAAAAATTAAAGGGTGTGTTTCAATCCATGTTCGAGTTGTCTTCTATTTGGTTTTCTTCATTTCGGGGACGAAATTTCCCCAAGGTGGGTAGATTATAACACCTTATATTTTTGGGTTTAGCATTGATGTGAGGTGTAATTGAAAGTTGTTAAGGTTTGGTGGATATGTATGGGTGCTCTCATGCTTTGTTGTGAACTAGGGGTTGTTAAGAATTAGTGAGCACAAGGTTGTTGCTATTTTTGATAGAACGGATGCAATTTTGGGGATGAAATTTCTTAAGGTAGGAAGATTGTAATGACTCAGATTTTAATTCACATTGGATTGATGTATAGTGGTGCCCGTCACCTTAAAACTTGTATGGTTGTCGGACTCTTGATATTGACGGGTTGGCAAGTGAACTTTAAATATTATAATTGAGGACCCTTGGGTGATGTTTGGAACCTTGATTGAAGCCTTAACAAGGTATTTAGATAAGATTAGAGCAAAAGCCCCAAATTTGAGTTTGAGTTTTTGAACAGCCGTCACCCTTTTGCCCTTTTATTTTTCCACACTTTGAATTTGGATGTGAGGCTAGAACCATTGGAAAGCTTATTTCCGGGGCTTCGATTTGGACACAAGAACGATCTAGAACAGAGTCCGGATGAGAGAGTTATGCCCGTTTGAAGTTTTGGAATCTGTGCTGGAAGCAGGTCCGCACGAGCGGGAAATCCCTCCACAAATTCATGATTTTTTAACATAGCCTACAGTAACAGAGTTAACCCAAACTCAAGTTGCACCAAGGTAGCAGAGTGTGTCCTAATAGGAAAAAGGTTTGCTGGCTGCCAATGATTCTATCAATTACCTGTCTAGATATACATAAATATACATTAAAAAAGTTGTTAGTGTTAGGAATTTAGCAATATTATAATAGGGTATTTGGTATAGATTATTTGAGTTATTTACAATATATATATATATATATATATATTTTTTATTTTAAAAATGTGTTAGATTATTTAGTGAACCTTTTACTTATGTATTACATAACCGAAATAATTTTGTTAGTAATGGGCGCCCATGTGGTATGACCATTTGAACATAATTTGGATCTTATCCAAATATCTTATCCAAATAGGTTTTGAATTAAATTCAAACCTATTTAGGATAACCACTCAGGATATAGATATTATCAGTTTTAACTGATATAGATAAATAATAATAATATATTATATATCTGATATATGGTTATGGATAACCAAGAGAGAAAGAACGTATGTTTTTGTTTCTACCCATAAACTTACTCTCTCCCAAGAAACAACGATCAAAGCCATTTGCACTGTGGTTTGTGTGGGTGATATTCACCATTGTAATATCACCCCACTCCTGGGATTGATTGATTAGATTCTGGAAGCACGTGATTTATCCACGAGGTTTTAGATCAATAAAAGGTATGATCTAAACATTTTATTCCGCTGCATTTTTATATTTTGATTTACAAATTTAAATAAACTAAAAACAAAAGAAGACTATTTAGGAGATAGAGGAGGGGTGTTTTTTTTTTATTTATTTTTTTGTTATCAACTTTTAGCTTACCAGCTGTACCAAACATGCCAAATAAAAAGAACTTCTACAATAAACATTCCTATTTTGGAGTGTACCACATGCAATCTATTTTAAGTGATATTATGCATTGTAGTAGAGGTTTTGACTCTGTTGCTCTAGAAAAGGTAGACAGAGAGGTCGTTCAATCTGCTCACTAGCTCGCAACTGATGTAAGAAAACATTTTGCAGATTAATTGATATCATATGCTATTTCGTCCTCAAAAAAAGTTAAGATATTGTTTGTGATTTTAATATAAACTTTCAGTCATAAGCAAAAGGACCATAATAAATCAAAGTTAAATCTCACTTTAGATATAACCAATAAATTCTCCGGTTAAATCCAAATAATAATTACAGTAAGTTATAACTAAATTATAGCCAGCATTACGAGTTATAACCAACACTAAAATGCATCATAATCAAATATCACTTGAGGTATTATCAAAGATTTCTTCGATTATAACCAAAATAACATCTATAAGTAATTATAACTAAATGAGTTATAACTAAAGACCACAAAAAGTCAAGCATATAATACATCATTTTTTAAAGTGTTATATAGAATTCCCTTATAAATATTATGAGATATGTATATATATTATATAGGGAAATTCTATGCTTTGGTTTACACTTTTGTGTCTTTGGTTATGCCTCCTTGTGTTGTTAATTATGACACATTGTGATATTGGTTATGAAATTATTTTTGTTATGATTCAAGAGTTGTTTGGTTATACCTCATGTGATGTTTAGTTATAACTCAAATTATTATTATTATTATTTGTTATGATTCTCATACTATTGAGTTATGTCATCTGTGATAATCAAACTCACAAATAACATAACTTGTATGTGGTAGCATTACTCTCTCTATATATATATTTTGGACAAATTACGACAGTAGTCCCTGTACTTTACCCCTTGTGTCATTTTAGTCTTTGTACTTTCAATTCGCTTGATTTTGACCCTGAATTTATGATTTTGTTTCAATTTGATCCAATTGATTACAACTCTTAGCATTTTTTTGTAAAAAATAAGCATGTATGTGTCACGTGCTATATTTTTAAGGGTAAAATTATAAACTTATTCAACTCAGTTAGTTAACCTCAATCAATTTAGTGATAATTTTCCTTAAAAAAACTAACAATATTATTAATTGGACAAATGAAAATAAAATCTAAAATTATGAATTAAAATTGACCTAATTGAAAGTGTAGAGACCAAAATGACATAAGAAGTAAAATATAGGGACCACCATCATAATTTGCCTTTCTTTTTTTTTTCTTTTGGATAAAGGAGGATCAACTTATTATATTCAGCTGATAAATCATAACTAGACGTTGAACGTGTTTATTATAAAATTTTCCTATAAATATTATAAAATTTATACATATATATTAATAATAAAAGATGATCAACTTACTTTAATCGTATAGCCATTCAAGGTCGGAGAACCGCACTTCATCGCCACAGTGATCATTTTCATCCACGGTTGCGCATTCCTAAAAGAAAAGAAAGTAAAATACATATAAACAAAAAATACATATGAAGCACTCCAGTTGAGTAGTCTCTTGTAAATATTCAAAGATAAAAGATTTCATCAACTGACAAAAATAATTAACCATAGATCAAGTTGAAAAAGAAAGTCTACCTCTCCTTTCAAAAGAAGTTGTTCCTTTAAATACTTATTGAGATCTTCTATTTGAAGGCCGTCATTGCCATGTGTACTTACAAATATCTGTGGCATGCGTACTTGTCCAAAAGTAAAGTTGTGCATATTTGGACACCTTTTCAGAACAACTCTCTGTAATGATGGCAAATTAAAATTATATTTCGCATTACAGAAACTATTGAGGTTTGGTAAATCTTTCAGCATTAGCCACTCCAACTTTGGGAATTCAATCACATCATCAATCACTTCCTCGAGCCCATCCTCTGTTGCTGCAATAACTTCTTCCATCACCAGACAAGACTCCAAATAAAGTACTTTAAGTTGTTGAAGAGCCATGGCGGTGGAACATGTGAATAGATTTCTCAAGAGGGAACATTTCTTAATTGTTAGGTATTGTAGGATTTGAAGGCTCAGAATTCCACGGGGATCCTTGTTCCACAAACATGTCAACTGAGGTAATCCATCTAATTCCATCATTCTTACTT